AACTTGGTGGCTCTGTGGCCAAATGCCTCCATATCACTCAGGACTAAGATAACAAAGAGACTGAGCATGGAAGACAATTGCCTCTGGTACTCGAAGACACAGGAACAGCTTAGAAAGGGTGAATGGAAGATACCCAAGAAAATAATCTGCTAACACCTGGATTTGGTCTGGCTTTCAAGTTAAGGAAAATCTGGCTAATAAACAGAGAAAATAAAGGGGAAAAAAAAATGGAAGAGGATATATTTGGTGAAAACTGCACTTAATGGACATCTCCCCTACTTCAGTAAAAGTCAAGCTAGGTCCCACTTCTTCTGCTAGCCTACGGGTCATGCATTGTGAGATGTGGCCTCATCGTTCCCATACAATTTACACAAAGCCCCCAGCTTACCTCCTCTTTCTTCTCAAACTACTCTCATGACAGTTACACGAGGCAGCTTAAAGTACACATTTTGTGTTTTTTATTTTATTTTAATAGGACACGCTGCCTCTATTTTATGCTTGAGGACTTGGACCCTGGACACCCTACATTTCTCTTACAACGGAACCATGATTTTGTTTGGAGGGTCTACCAAGGGAGCACAGAACACCCTTGACTTTGTCGACATTTCAAAAAGCATTGCATTGAAAATCAGGAATGACAGGGGACCCCAGCAACCAATAGGATGACAGATGTGCCTGAACACCCTTGACTTGGACCCTGAATGTGCCACCCTACATTTCTCTTACAACAGGACCATGATTTTTTTTTTTTTTGGAGGGTCTACCAAGGGAGCACAGAACACCCTTGACTTTTCACAAAAAGCATTGAGAATCAGGAAGGGGGACCCCAGCAACCAATGGGATGACAGATGTGCCTGAAGACTTGGGCGCTGGACACCCTACATTTCTCTTACAACAGGACCATGATTTTTTTTTTTTTTTTGGAGGGTCTACCAAGGGAGCACAGAACACCCTTGACTTTGTTGATATTTCAAGAAGCGTTGAGAATTAGGAAGGGGGACCCCAGCAACCAATGGGATGACAGATGTGCCTGAAGACTTGGACCCTGAACACCCTACATTTCTCTTACAACGGGACCATGATTTTGTTTGGAGGGTCAACCAAGGGAGAAAGAACACCCTTGACTTATCAAGAAGCATTGAGAAACAGGAATGAGAATTAGGAAGGGGGACAACCCCAGCAACCAATGGGATGACAGAAGTCATATCCAGATTGCCAACACATCCCACACAAAGCAGTTGTGAGGCAAACGTTTTGTTTGTACACAACTGCCACTTTAGGATTTCAAACAGTGAAGTTTAGCCATTCCGTGTAGCTGCCATTTGTAACAAACAAAACTCAGGATTTTAGAGAATATAAAAAATGATCCCCCTGCCCACCCCCCCCACATTTGAACAAAAATTTAAATCCAGCTTTCGCTGCATTACTCAACTTCTCTACAGTGCTGCTCCCAGCAGAAACTACGTTCAGATGTCCTACTGCCAGTCCTCTTTACAGCTGAACACACATTTCCTCTGAGCACAGGCTGTCATGGACACACCCCCTTGGGGGGCACACCTTGTCAGCCTGGGGTCACAGTAGTGTTTCAGACTGCTTTGCCATCAAAATGTTGGTGCCAGTCTCTGCAGCTTTGAAGACTGCCCACAGATGACATGAGAGAAGAGGAAGGACATCAGGATGTCATCTAACTACCTTAAAGCAGAAATCCGGGGAATTTTTTTTGGGGGGGGGGGGCTGTGCTGGCAATGCACGGGTTAAATGCTCATTTTGTTCTAGGGGAGAGGACACCGAAGATATACTCGCCTGACCAGCCCATACAACACAAGACAAGTCCTTTTGGCTCCTGCTCCTCCCGTGGTCCAGCGATCTTGTAAATGGACTGTTCCTGACATCAGAACGCTCAATGTGCGCTCTACAGACAGGAACAGTTCACCGCTGGACCGCATGGTTAACGCATGGTTAAAAAAAAAAAAAAAAAATGTAACTGCAAAACTTAAGCTCAGATGGAGTGTATAGCTTCCAGTGTGAGTGGAATAATAAGCGTGCATTAACAAAGGCTTGGCTTCCACCTACAGGTGTGGGCGCATTTCTACACATTGCGTGTAGGGCAGCCTATTCATTTCATTGGGCTACCACATGCGTGAGAAAGACAGAAAAGTCGGCCCCAACTCTTCTCCAAAAACGTACTGCACCCAGGGTGTATGTACCACAAGGCATTTGCCTAGGGCGGCATTTAAGGGGGGGCAGCACTGCCCCTGGATAGAAGGGACGGAAGAAGGGATACACACAGTATGGGGACCTGGTGGGTTCCATGACAGTGGATGCACAGCCAGACTCTCGTTCCTGGGGATGTCTGGCGCTGTGAAGGTTAGCGTCTGTCTCTCTCTCCATGGGGGATGGTGTCTGGTGTATGCGGGGCAGTGGAAGGCTCTCTCGGGTGGGAGGTAGGAGGGGTGTTGTTGGTCAAAGTCAGGCTCTCTCTGTGGGGGGCACAGATTTTTGTGTTGCCTAGGGCAGCACAAAACCTAAAATACACCACTGACTGCACCATGCGGTTTAGCACGTGTTTGCAGATGCCTGGGGGGTGAATGACAATAAATTGCGCTGCCACACATCTACCAAAGGAGAGCGCATGATTTTGCACATGTTCCCGACACGTATAGATGTGAACTAAAATCCTCTCAGGTGTGTTACATTACCAAGTAGGAATCGTGTGTAGATAAAGCCAATGAGTGTGGAAGGAAACACACCAGTCAGAGATGTAAACAAAGCCGTGAAAGGCATACACAAGTTCCATCTACCTGATCTGGGCTTCAGGTGACTGTAAAAGGTATATTGTCTTTAAATAACAAACATGTTAGTGTTCTACTTACCTGCTCTGTGTAATCGCTTTTTACAGAGCAGCCCTGATCTTCCTCTTCTCAGGGTCCCCCCCTCGAGTGCCCCCACAGCAAGCAGCTTGCTTTGGGGGCACTTGTGAGTGCTCGCTCCTGATCGGACTGTCTATATAAAAACACACGGAGGCCAGCTCAGCCCCGCCGCCGCCTCAATGGCTGCTTGCTTTGGGGGCACTCGTGCCTGCTCGCTCCTGATCGGACTGTCTATATAAAACACACGAGGCCAGCTCAGCCCCGTCGCCTCCTCAATGGCTGCTTGCTTTGGGGAACTCGTGCCTGCTCGCTCCTGACCGGACTGTCTATATAAAACACACAAGGCCAGCTCAGCCCCGCCGCCTTCCTCACTGCTTGCTTGCTTTGGGGACACTCGTGCCTGCTCACTCCTGACCGGACTGTCTATATAAAAACACACGGAGGCCAGCTCAGCCCCGCCGCCTCCTCACTGGCGGCTTGCTTTAGCGGCACTCGTGCGTGCTCGCTCCTGATCGGACTGTCTATATAAAACACACGGAGGCCAGCTCAGCTCCGCCGCCTCCTCAATGGCTGCTTGCTTTGGGGGCACTCGTGCATGCTCGCTCCTGACCGGACTGTCTATATAAAAACACAAGGCCAGCTCAGCCCCGCTGCCTTCCTCACTGGTTGCTTGCTTTGGGGACACTCGTGCCTGCTCACTCCTGACCGGACTGTCTATATAAAAACACACGGAGGCCAGCTCAGCCCCGCCGCCTCCTCACTGGCTGCTTGCTTTAGCGGCACTCGTGCGTGCTCGCTCCTGATCGGACTGTCTATATAAAACACACGGAGGCCAGCTCAGCTCCGCCGCCTCCTCAATGGCTGCTTGCTTTGGGGGCACTCGTGCATGCTCGCTCCTGACCGGACTGTCTATATAAAACACACGAGGCCAGCTCAGCCCGCCGCCTTCCTCACTGGTTGCTTGCATTTAGGGGCACTCGTGCGTGCTCACTCCCGATCCGACTGACTACATAAAATACACGGAGACCAGCTCAGCCCCGCCGCCATCCTCACTGGTTGCTTGCTTGCTTTGGGGGCACTCGTGCCTGCTCGCTCCTGGCCGGACTGTCTATATAAAACACATGGAGGCCAGCTCAGCCCTGCCACCTCCTCACTGGCTGTGACTGACAGCAGCGGGGACCTATGACTCCGGCTGCTGTACCTGTACCAATGAGGAGGGAGAGAGCTTCTCCTCTTGTGCACATCGCTGGATCAGTATCGGGCTCAGATATGTATTTTGGGGGGGCTGAATGCAAAAGGGTTTTTTACCTTCATGCAGAGAATACACGAAGGTAAAAAAAAACCCTCCAAAAAAAACACCACCTTCAGTTTCTCCCCCAGATATTGCTGTAATGCACTAATCCAGAGGTGTCCAAACGATGGCCCTCCAGCTGTTGAAGTACTACAAGTCCCATCATGCCTCTGGGTGTCGAGTCTTGCTTGGCCTCATGGGACTTGCAGTTCCTCAACACCTGGAGGGCCGTAGTTTGGACACCCCTGCACTAATCCATCTCACTGCTGTGTCAGAAATCAGGTGATCCAAGAACCCCTATTTGCTTACCTGTTAATTAAGAAAGAGGTGTTCCCAAACACTCATGGTTATCTCTCACTTTCAGAAACCCTGCTGTATAAAATTACTAGGTTCAAACCGGTCCTGGAAATCTCCAGGACACATCAAGCACAGAGAGGAAACCAACAAACGCCAGGAAATACACTCCCAGTGAACGTGTGATAAGCTGTCCGCATTCCGGCTGACAAGAAGGAAAACTGGAAGACTTGCTGACTCGGCACACTTTCACTGTCTGCTGGATAATATAAAACAATAAATCGATTTTTTTTTTTTTTTTTTTGGCCCTAGTCCAGAACAACTCGCTTGAACACATTAAAGAAAAATCAGTAAATACAAGCTGGGTTGATAAAATTCTTATTTCTGCACATGCAACCATGTACTGTAGTTCTTTAATGTTTATAATGGATTACATTCTAAACAGATACGGGTTTAGGTGTCGAATACATTATATATTAACAGCTGCTGTTTTCTGACATATTTAGGAAAATTCATAAAATGGGGTGTACCAAGAGTTAACAAGACTAATTCTTTACCTTGCGCACGACCTCTTCCTCCTCCTGGCGCTTCTCATAATGAGAAAAGTCATCAAAGATGGAGGTCGTGTGCTTGTAAGTGGCAATGATTTTAAGCACTAGTTTCGCTTTTTCTAAGGGCACCTCCTGCGTGTCTCGCGAGTTTGTGACCGGTTTGTTGTCGTTGTTCTCCAGGCGGATGTGCCTCAGCTGGTTGTTCGGGACGTCCTTGACAAAGAGCCACTTGACGTCAAACTTGCCCTTCCACTTGTCCTGCGACCAGACACCGGCGCTGGTGCCGTAGTCGACGGGTGACCGCATCTCGGCCACGCCACAGAAATGTCCACTGCCGTTGACGCTGAAGAGCAAGTAGACCGGGCCTTTGCCGTTCATGGAGCGGAAGGCGCTGTCTAGACGCTTATTCCCATGCTCTGTGCTACACCAGATAGAGTACTTGATGGAGCGGTGGATATCGTCCTCAGAGTAGCTCTTAATGATAAACACTCGCCCGTTTTTCAGGTTCCAGTCAAAGTCCTTGGGGTTGTAGCTGTGGGAGGCTTTGAGCTTCTCCAACACTGGATGGGAGTCACTACCAGGAGCAGCGTGAGGCTGAGCCCCACCCAAGGGATTGCCATCAGATCCCCCACCTTGCCCGTAGGCAGCGTTCCTGTTCCGAGGGGCTACCCAGCGGTTTTGTGGGGCCTGTTGCTGCTGCTGCGGTGGTGGAGGGGGTTTTGGAAGGGGGCTTGGGATAAAGGCGGTGGTTGGGCCGGGATGGGCTGCAGAGCTGCTGTTGGGGTTGCGGTTGAGGGATGGACTGAGGAGACGGGATCTGCTGAGGCATCGGAGGCTTTGTGACTGGGCCCTTGTTATCCCATGTTCCGATGTCCATGTTGTGTTTGATGGGTGGCGGTGGCAGGGCTCCGCCAATGATGGTCACGGGCTTGGTTTTTGTCTTAGGCTGGGGTTTGGCAGGTTTGCTGGCTATGGCGGCCCAAGAAGTGGGTTTTGAAGGTGGCATGCTTATGCTTGTGCCCCCATTGCCAGACAGGGCGCTGGGCATCCCTACACTATTGACCACAGAGCCCACTGTCTTGACTGCAGAGGCGGTAACATTGCTACCTATCTTTAGCCCCACCATGCCCTGCTCAATGCTGTTCATACCAGGCGCCTTATTCAGAGTCTCATTGTGAAACCCGGTCTGTCCATCCACAATGGTGCCCCCCAGAGAGCTTGGCGGGTAGCTGTAACTACCCCCATAGGCTGAGTTCTGAGTCTGCTGGCCCTGAGAGCCACTGGTGCCCCAGGCAGAGAAGGCATGGTTCTCGGGGAAGAAGTTGAAACGATGTTGGTAGATGTTGTTTCCAAGTCCACCAGGCTGGCCAAACACAGCATCGTGCATGAAATGGTGGTCTCCATTGCTCAGTTGTCCATACGGGGTGAGGTACGGGATAGGAGGATCCCCACCTGTTGACCACGGTGCCTCACTGAGAGAGTACGGGAAACCAATCGATGGAGGGTAGTAGCTGGAGAGGTATGGGTCCGTCATTGAAGGGTAGCTGTTACTCTGTTCAAAAAGAAATGGAATTGGAATTTAGCCACTAATCATCTTATACCACATTGCTTTAACTCTCTCTAGTGCCAATAACAGACCATGTATGATCAGTAATGGTCACAACAGTCATTGATAAGTAATAATTAGTCATAATTGGTACAACAGATAAGGGTCAGAGCCTTTGTGAATCTTTTACAGGTGCACATGGAGCCATTTGGTGATTTACTTTCACTGGAAAGGATAAATCTGAAAAAATGTTTAGGTGGCCAAGAAGAAAGGAGAAATATTCCAACAGGGTGACTAGGATTTCTGTCATTTTCTGTGTGGTCACCAGGACAGGAAGGTAGGACAAATCTCCTTACGGCTGGGACATGGGAGCCTATGGGTGACGTCAGTGCTCCGGGCTTTACTAGCCATCATCTAAGATCACGTTCCATATGGCTGGAAAAGCAGTAGAGTTGAAGGAAGTAATTCCTCCTCAGCTGACTTAAGGAGCATGTATGGACAGTCATTCATCAGCCCTTGAAAATGCAACTGCCAACTGTCTCAGTACTCATCTTGTAAGGACCAGGTCCTCCTAGTGATCCTGTCACAGGTGGAAAATGAGCCAAAACACCAGGATGGCTAAAGAGACCGCTCATTTGTTCTACCACACTGCCTCCCCACTAGCTACTCATTCTATGAGGGACCCACAGCAGACTGACATCATAGGAGCAGGTGAGTGTTCACAATGCTCTCGGTGATTGTGCAGCTGAGACAACATGATTGAGTAATGAAAGAAACCAATAGATTATATAAACCCAACAGACTTAGGCTGGCCATACACTATACAATTTTCTGTCCAATTTCCTTTAGATTTACCTTCAACTATGTAGTACAAGGGCCCGTCTAATTGGATACAATTGAAAGTGTTAGGTTTGACCTCATATTATATGGTTTTTGGTAAATCTAAAGCACAATTGTCAAGAAAATTGTATAATACATGGCCAGTCTAAATGTTCCTTATACAACACACTGATCACATCAAAGGTTGAATGCCATTTGAAAGACCTGTCACATTCATTAGAATGCAAGTTAGGAAATTCTCTAACCATTTAAAAAATTTTTTTTTTTTATCAGAACTTCCTTTTTCCACAGAAAGCAGCTGAACCACGGGATGGGATGGGGAGGGGGGAGATGGGGGGTGTTAATTTACTAACACTGGAGAGTGCAAAATCTAGAGCAGCTGTGCATGGTCAGCCAATCAACCTCTAACTTCAGTTTGTTCACCCCCGGTTCACATCTATGCGGGCTGCGTTTTGCATGGGCACAAGAGCCCATTCATTTGAATGGACTCCTGTGCCCCATGACACGCAGGGGAAGAAGCCCCTGCACTTTTTTGGAAAACGCAGCCGAGGTTCCCAGTACGGTTGCGTTTTCCAGTGCGGGCGGCGTGCCATTAGAACTGTCACCCGCCCGCGGGTCCGCATTTCTCTGTGCAGGTGGTGCAGCTGCACGGATTTTCGTGCGGATCCGCAGCAGCACCACCCGGCATAGATGTGAACCGGGGTTAAGCTCTGACAAAAGACAAACAAACCTGGAAGCCAATTGGATTTCATGCCGAACTGCACTAGATTTTGCTCTCTCTTCAGATTTAGTAATATCGACCACTTGGTGTCCATTTTAGGCCAACACAATACTTCTTGGTTGCTGCTGTGTTTCCACCGCTGGGGAGACCTTCCCAAGGAGAAGAGACCGCAAAGACAAATTTTCCTAACATACCCAAACCTAAGGCTGGCATTAGCAAGGGGGTGGTCTTCCAAGAATGGTGGCGGGAGATTTGTAGAAAGACCAGAGAATGAGTGGACAGAACTGGGATGTCCTAACAAACACTATAAACCAATGGTTTGTGGAGATTTGAGATCACCATATCTATAGGACCTTGTTAGACAACCCATTCCAATGAGCATTAACAGGGAGTTGGCCCCTCTTGCCTGTAATTAACTGCCCTAAATCTTGATAGCGCATTCTCAGACTTGTGTTAGGTCTCCCCCTCCCGGTCCCCATTGTATTTGCCTCCAGCAAGCTGTCAAGTGTCCATGCTCTATTCCAGCAATGGGCAAACTACGGCCCGGCGGACCTTTTAACCGGGCCCGCGGAGCGTGATACAAAAAAAAAAAAAAAAAAAAAAAAAAAACAGACAGGGCAGCGCGCTCAAATGCAATGATTGGCCAGTCTCGCTGCCACTCACATCCTGATAGCCAGTGATTGGCTGTCAGGATGTGTGTAGGCGGGGCAGCGTGACGAACGTGAGGGGAGCTAGGCTCCTCTCACAGTCCGCCCTGAAGACCGGAACGGCGCGGGAACACGGCGAGAAGAACGCGCAGAGCAAAGGTAAGTAAATTGACACAGGGGGACTTGGCTTACTACTTACTTACTACTACTATATGAGGGATGAATTAATATGGGGGATGAATTACTATATGGGGGATGAATTACTATATGGGGGATGAATTATATGGGGGATGAATTACTATATGGGGGATGAATTACTATATGGGGGATGAATTACTACATGGGGGATGAATTACTATATGGGGGATGAATTACTACATGGGGGATGAATTACTACATGGGGGATGAATTACTACATGGGGATGAATTACTACAGGGGGGATGAATTACTACATGGGGGATGAATTACTACATGGGGGATGAATTACTACAGGGGGGATGAATTACTACAGGGGGGATGAATTACTACAGGGGGGATGAATTACTACAGGGGGGGGATGAATTACTACAGGGGGGATGAATTACTACAGGGGGGATGAATTACTATGGGGGATGAATTACTATGGGGGAATGAATTACTATACTTACTATGGGGGAATATTACTATACTTACTATGGATGGCATGGTAGTGGCTGGGCCGGCCAGCAGCTAGTCCGGCCCCCGGGTCCAATATATGAACCCATTGCGGCCCTCAAATCAAAAAGTTTGCCCACCCCTGCTCTATTCCCTCTTCTCGGTGTAGCAATTCACTGTCTGTGCAGCCACTGACCAATCAGAATCGCTCTGGACCGTCCAGGAAGCTCTGCACAGAGTAAAGGGAGAAGAGTGGGGACCCTCAAATCCCCGGACCGCTGGAGCAGCTGTGTGGGCACTAACAGCTCAGAAAAGCCAACGGCATATCTAGCAGGGACAGGGAGGAGGGTGTTCGGTTCCTTTTGCATTTGTTCTGTAAAGGTGAACCCTTTCATCATCAGAGTGCATTCCTGGATCTTGCAGACTTTCAGAATACTGTCTGCCCATACATCATACGGGCAAGAAGTTACTGAATGACAGAAAGGATCAATGAACTACCTAGAGCGCTTATCAGCACCTTGATAGTGCATTGAGAGCTACAAGCCGTCAGCTGCAATGACAGTGAATGCGGGGAGAAGACAGACTTGTTGTCACAGGGAGGCAGTGAAAACCATGTTAAAGGATACGTTCACCTTTGGGAAATTGTTACATGTTCCACCCATCTTTAGGATGTAACTTGTTCTCACTCCCTGACAGCCGCCTAAAAAGCCATCGATGAATAAGGCATTCTGCCTTGGTAGCATTGCAGAACATCCGCTTCCATCAGTGGCTTCTTAGACAGGCCTGATAGATTTCCTTATTTACAGAATTTACAGTACCACAAAGCGATGTCATTGAACAAGCCCCCCCACAACACTCCCCGAGGGTCTCCCGGTAGAATGTATGTACTGACCTGATTAGACTGGCCAGACAGGTACTGCTCGAAGTCGTTGTCGTGCACGCTGTCCTTCTGGTGTAACGATCCATTTTGCACTGAAATAAGATCATTGTTTGAGCGCCCTAGTGGAAAAACTTTTGAGGAGAAATTGAGTTTGTAAACTAACTAGGCAAGGATTGGCCTAAGACACAGTCTATGCAAAAGCGGAGGGAGGGAGAGGAGGAAGGGGTAGGGGGGCTACAGCTGCAACCGTTCAACACAGTACACCAATACAAAGGCACTACATCTCTGCAATACATGCATATCCCCCATGATACAAACATACCTACTGACCTGCCACAAACCCAGCACACTTCCTGTTGTAGAAAATGTGTTGGAGATGAACATAGGGGAGGTGTTCTGTAGTCCAGCAGTGAGAACTCATACAGGGCTGACAATCCTGCTTTGTATTTCAATGCAGCAGGAGCTCATTACAGGAACTTTAGCAGCTCGCTGGATTTATGGTGGATCAGCAGTTTTTTTTTTGTTTTTGGACATTTTTTAAGATACCGGACACGCTAGGCAAACTTTTTTTTTTTCATTGTAGATTTTTTAAGATACCAGACATGCTAGGCAAACTTTTTTTTTTTTTCGTTTTTGGACATTTTTTAAGATACCAGACACGCTAGGCAAACTTTTTTTTTTTTCGTTTTTGTAGATTTTTTAAGATACCGGACACGCAAGGCAAACTTTTTTTTTTGGAGATTTTTTAAGATACCGAACACGCTAGGCAAACTTTTTTCTTTGGAGATTTGTTAGGATCCTGGACACGCTAGGCAAACTTTTTTTTTTTTCGTTTTTGGAGATTTTTTAAGATACCAAACTTTTTTTTTTTTGGAGATTTTTTAAGATACCGGACACGCTAGGCAAACTTTTTTTTTTGGAGATTTTTTAAGATACCAGATACACTAGGCAAACTTTTTTTTTTCTTTTTTTGGAGATTTTTTAAGATACTGGACACGCTAGGCAAACTTTCTCTTTTTCGTTTTTGGAGATTTTTTTTAAGATACCAGACACGCTAAGCAAACTTTTTTTTTTTGGTTAGAATACTGGAGGTTTTACTGCTCTAATCCCCTCCCCTTCATTGTCCCAGTGACAACAATGAAGATTTCCCATCACTTCCTGCCCTTGTGATGTGAGACCAGGAAGAAGAGAAGGAGAAAGCTCTCCAAGGTCAGAGAAAATATCCCAAAAAGAGGCTGCCATGGCCACACTTCCTGCACGGTGACTACAGGAGGTCAACATTAACAATATGATGCGGACGGTTACCTTGACTACAAATTGAGCTGTACTAGTAGCTACCGGCCCTATATGGGATTTAGGCAACTTAGTTCAAGAGGTAGTCCACCCAAAAGTGAGATTTTAGTTCATCGGTAGAACCTGGTGAGACTTCTCAAGTGTCCTGGATACTCAGACAGTGTGATCTCTTCCCCACCTGGTATTCTCTACACTATAAAAGAGATAGGAATCCAGTAGGATTCCTATCTATTTTTCCCCTCGACCATACCGCCTGCTCCTCCTGTTAGTCTGAGAACTGCAGATATGCAAACGCCGCGCTGACTCCATGCAGTTGGATGAAGACTGTTAGGCGGTTGTAACTGTCAGTTACAGTTCAGCAGGACACAGGCTGCTCATTGCAACCGGCCAGTTCTGTTGGAAAACATTAGCAGTGACACCATCACATGGCTTACATTAGCAGTGACACCATCACATGGCTTTCAGTTCATCTATTTCCTATGCAAAGTTTCAGTATGAGATGTGAGTCACATAATCACCATCATCCAAAACCTCCACCATGCTGCAGCACGATGCAAATATGGCTGATGATAAACAGGCAAATTCCCCCTGACCGTATTTTCCCAGGCTTGTTTGTGAAACCAGAAGCAGCAGCCCCTGAACGGCATTGTGTGTCCATTCTTACTTTACAGAATTAGGCAAGCTTTATCGACTATTACTAACAAAATGTGTTCTTCCATTGCCTAATATTTCTGCAAGCCTTAAATCCTAACTCCACCTTCAAAAAGAAATAAATGCACATTTATTTGCAAGAAACATACATTGGCATGAATACTTTACGAAATGATTCTGGCAAAGCATTACAAGCTCGATCAATGGATCGTGGAAGCACTGCCAGGATCGTGCAAGCACTGCCAGGATCGTGCAAGCACTGCCAGGATCATGCAAGCACTGCCAGGATCGTGCAAGCACTGCCAGGATCGTGCAGACTGCCAGGATCTGCAAGCACTGCCAGGATCGTGCAGGACACTGCTACCAGCACTGTACAGGATCGTGCAAGCACTGACAGGATCGTGCAAGCACTGACAGGATCGTGCAAGCACTGACAGGATCGTGCAAGCACTTCTACCAGCATGTCTGTACAGGATCGTGCAAGCACTGACAGGATCGTGCAAGCACTGACAGGATCGTGCAAGCACTGACAGGATCGTGCAAGCACTGACAGGATCGTGCAGACTCTTCTACCAGCCAGTCTGTACAGGATCATGGAAGCACTGCCAGGATCGTGGAAGCACTGCCAAGCTCATGCAGGCTCTTCTACCAGCATGTCTGTACTGAAATTCGGGCCTTCAATTAAGAAGCATGGCCAATACTTCTTCAGCTATACTTCCTCCTAGTGATCACAGGAATCCATTTAGCTCTGCACTCCTGTGACCTATTTTCAGCCGACAGCAAGCTAAAGTCTGACATCACACAGTAGATCCAAGCTCTGGAGAAATCCGGACTTTAATGTCTGGATCCACCCATATGCCTGAACCAGCAGCTGGCTCAGCCACTCAGTGAGCCCCTGAGACCCCTGAACCAGCCGCTTCCTGCCCCTAAACAGCCCCATGTTTCAGTGGGTGCTGGAGTAGCAGAGATACTGAGAGACCGACTGTCACCGGCTCTGTGTTCACTGAACCCCGGTTCACATCTGTTCGGGTGGTGCCGCTGCGGATCCACACGAAAATCCATGCAACCGCACCACCAGCACAGAGGAATGTGGACCCGCGGGCGGGTGCCATTACTTCTAATGGCACGCCACCCGCACTGGGAAATGTGGTTCCCGTGCGGGCTGCGTTTTCCAAAGCAGTGCAGGGACTTCTTCCCTCCGTGTCACGGGCACGGGAGTCCATTCAAATGAATGGGCTCTTGTGCCCGAGCAAAACGTGGCCCGAATGGCCGCATAGGTGTGAACCTAGGGTGAAGATGAAGACTGAGCGATCAGCAGGTTTGATCGCTCGGCAGGGGACAGATGTAGCATCCACTTAGGCAACTATGATCTTTGTAAAACAAAAAACAGTCTCACACTTCTCTTTTAGAGAGCTGGAGGAAATGTCAATGGACAAGTACTGTGATCACCAAACACGTATTCCTATGAGAACTACAAGTCCGTGTGAAGCAGTGGCATATGGGACTTGTAATGTATACATTCACTGACACAGATGTGAGGGCAGAGCCACCCATAGCAATGAAAATTTTTAGAAGTGATAGCAGCTGCTAAATGCATGTCTAACAACAGTGCAAAGGGTGGCGTTAGCCTTTAACCTCCCTGGCCGCCTGATTATGTCAATATTTTTGAATGTCAAAACGGTACATTGTTTTTCATGGAAATTTCAGTGTCTGATGAGGAATTTCCCCACAAATCGCTATCGTTCAATTCTGCAAGTGATTTTAATTCACGATCGCCGTTTTCCAGCTTTTTGACCTAAAAGGGACGCTTTTTGGACGCCATGGATGTTCTCAAGTTTCCAGGCAGAAAGAACTGTAAAAGTGCAGGCAGGGCGCAGGACAAAGCACTCGGGACAAAACTGAGGTGAAATGGTTTGATACAGTAATGGAATCCTAACAGATTACAATGTATTGTGTGTATCTCGTGTTTTTATTTTTTTTAATCTCCTGCCGGTTCTGCTCCCCTACGTCGCGGCACTCGCAGGGAAGGGAACCCAGAAGCCGACAGCGGCCCGCCGTGGGAGGAGGACGCCGTGGGAGGACAGCGGCCGGAGGACGCCGTGGGAGGACAGCGGCCGGAGGACGCCGTGGGAGGGAAAGCGGCCGGAGGACGCCGTGGGAGGAAAGCGGCCGGAGGACGCCGTGGGAGGAAAGCGGCCGGAGGACGCCGTGGGAGGAAAGCGGCCGGAGGACGCCGTGGGAGGAAAGCGGCCGGAGGACGCCGTGGGAGGAAAGCGGCCGGAGGACGCCGTGGGAGGAAAGCGGCCGGAGGACGCCGTGGGAGGAAAGCGGCCGGAGGACGCCGTGGGAGGAAAGCGGCCGGAGGACGCCGTGGGAGGGAAAGCGGCCGGAGGACGCCGTGGGAGGAAAGCGCCGAGGACGCCGTGGGAGGAAAGCGGCCGGAGGACGCCGTGGGAGGAAAGAGCCGGAGGACGCCGTGGGAGGAAAGCGGCCGGAGGACGCCGTGGGAGGAAGCGGGACGCCGTGGGAGGAGGACGCCGTGGGAGGAAAGCGGCCGGAGGACGCCGTGGGAGGAAAGCGGCCGGAGGACGCCGTGGGAGGAAAGCGGCCGGAGGACGCCGTGGGAGGAAAGCGGCCGGAGGACGCCGTGGGAGGAAAGCGGCCGTGAGGACGCCGTGGGAGGAAAGCGGCCGGAGGACGCCCGTGGGAGGAAAGCGGCCGGAGGACGCCGTGGGAGGAAAGCGGCCGGAGGACGCCGTGGGAGGAAAGCGGCCGGAGGACGCCGTGGGAGGAAAGCGGCCGGAGGACGCCGTGGGAGGAAAGCGGCCGGAGGACGCCGTGGGAGGAAAGCGGCCGGGAGGACGCCGTGGGAGGAAAGCGGCCGGAGGACGCCGTGGGAGGAAAGCGGCCGGAGGACGCCGTGGGAGGAAAGCGGCCGGAGGACGCCGTGGGAGGAAAGAGCGGCCCGGAGGACGCCGTGGAAGGAAAGCGGCCGGAGGACGCCGTGGAAGGAAAGCGGCCGGAGGACCGGAGGACGCCGTGGGAGGACAGCGGCCGGAGGACACCGTGGGGAGGACATTGGGGGATTGCAGGGACAAGGTAAGTTACACTACACACCAGGGGCGGACTGACAACTCATGGGGCCACGGGCA